TGTGTGTGTGTGTGTGTGTGTGTGTGTGTGTGTGTGTGTGTGTGTGTCTGTATAAACTCACTATATACTACAATAACCTACTTTTTGTGTCCAGGCCACCCAAAATAAACAGAAGAGTATCACCTTAAAGACGCTCACAGGTGTTTGCACTTATACGCCTTATTAGACCTCCTCTCAGGTCAGTGGGTGTGTACAAACTGCTTGATTGACATCTCTCTTACTCTTGGTAAGGTTGTGCTTGATATGGTGGAACAATGTACGCCCTTGTTTTTGATAGAAGGGCATGAAACCCTGCAGAGCTCCAACCAACTTCAGCCTGAGCAGAGGTCTAATCAGCCACATTAACAGAAATCACCTGTGTGGGTGTGCAGAGCCTTTAAAGCGGCTGTTAAAAATATGTTTTACGTTAACAAAGGCTCAAATCGTTGCATGTGATAGGAAAGAGGTTGCTAAAGATCACACACCCTCAGACAATATTCACCCGACTGCAGTTCTCCTTAACAATAACACAGTGTCTTTTAGCTTATGGTTTTGGTTTTATGGCCTGCAACTTTACTGTTTTGGTTCGCTCACACCACACATGAGTGTCGTTTTTGGCGGAAGCAGGACCCTATTTTCGGCAAAAACGTTCTGAAAACCCACTCTACTCAACCTGCCCAGCACCAAACGGCAGCCAGCGACTATTGGGTGAACATAGGCGAGCATTTAGCAGCTAAAGAACCAGATATTTTCCTCAGGAGTTGGTGGAGAGAAAAACTGAGCTAAAATGAGATAGAGTATTGAACTTGCATTCACCAGGTCCACCAACTCCACATTGATGCTAATCTTGTCTGTGTCTGCTCAATTTGTGAATAAGCCACAGAAGAAAAAGCACATAATGTGTTGAAGTCTGAGTGTATTCTACTGGGAGCAGAGCAGTGCAAAGGGGGGAGGTAAATTTAGAACATAGGTGACTGAGCTGCTTTTAACCTTTATGAACAACACAGTTTACAATTTATGATAGCTAATTATTATTGTACGTTGGATGTCCTAGGACTTGGGTCTCTGAATTAATAGGCATACTCCTATTGAAATTATTCTGCAAGTATTCAAAGGGATAATCTGGGGTCTTAACATGTGGATAACACTCAAGCAATAAATATGCGATCTTTGTACATTTTAGTGTTGGGTTTTAGCAATTTAGCAGCAGCTAAAAGATGACATGGCATGTTTTAAATATCTTAAGAAAGACTTTATGAATACACACAAAACAAAACTCATACCACCAGTATTGCAAAAAAAAGGACAAACAAAAGTTAACCTCAAACATAAATGCAGTACTCTGTTAGTACTGATAAGCACCATTTAGCAGAAACCAGTGTTGCATAGTCAGTTTCTAGAAATCCACCAGAGTTGCATTTGCCTTCCAAGAGACATATTTTCCAGAGTGCGCAATCCCTAGAGGAAGGGTCAGAGTCAGTTCAGGTGATGGCCCATGTCCAACACACAGTATTCAGAACTTTCTTGGAAAGTCACATTTCGCTCCACATGTACTCCACAAGTGGTGTAATTTGTCTGACCTGAAGCTGTCCGGAGGACAGGGCTATGATCCATCATAGGTGTACTTACTATCAATAATTGACATCGCTACCGCACCAAGGTTCATAGACATTTCATTTTCTGGAGTCAGAGCAGCTCTGAGCTACAGAGAACTGAATCAATTGTTCCCAGTACGTCTTTCAGCACACAGTTTTGTCACCGCCATTGCTGCTTAAAAGTATTGTGCAAACATGCATATTGCGCAGTAAAAGAATTCAATAGTAATTGTATAAACTGAATGAAATGTTCATATGTAAAGAGCTACTTATATCCCTGAAAGTCCTTTGGAAAAACTGTGATGCACAGGAACTGGACGCTACAGTCCAGAGCGATACACCTTTATGCACCTGTATCATGTGGTTGCGTTGCTCTGCAAACTAGTTTAATTCTGGCTTGAATATTTTAACAAGCTGTATTTAATTGTTGTTTGCCTAATTGTGATAAGGAGTGTCTCCAAAGCAGGGACTTTTCTGCTGCCTGCGGACAGCACAGATGGAGTAAGGTTTGGGCTGTAAGGTCATGCCCAGTTTGGGAGTGACACTGGGAATGCTTCCTGGAGGGAACTGAAGATGAAACCTCTGCAGCAAAGTGGTGAAGAAGAGGAACATCTCCATCCTGGCCAGCTGTTCACCCAGGCAACACCGCCTCCCTGAAAAAAAAGAAAGTTCTTTAATTTAGACTCTCTCATACACACACAGACACAACATCTGTCCTCAAAAATACAAGAAAGACATTGGGGAACACACACTCTACAGATGAGGGGTAAAAATGAGAACAGGAACTTGAAAATCATAAATATATGCTACAGCTGAAGTAAACACATTTGGTTTTTAACAGATATTTCTTTTGAATTTGGGGATTTTACGGATGCTTATCGGCCAATGAACTGTGATCGTAACGGACTATATAGAACATGACAAAAGAGAGAGAGATGAGAGAAAATATTCTGGCTCTAATCTCAACAAACAGGATATTTGTTTTATTTTGTCTTGTAATGCAAAGGTGGGTATGGATTTATGTAGATGGGATGTTGGTATGTATACATGACGCATACAGTTTTACATTTCTATTTCATTTATAGGGGGAAGTAGATTGCACTGAGAAAAATTAAGCTAAAGACAGAATTTAGTGTATTTAAGACCCCATTCTCGCTGATGCACATTCATGTGTTTCAGTTGAGTTTTAGTTTATGGCTTGGCAGCATTTGCTTTGAGGTCACCACTGACCTGGGACATACTGTGATTACCTTCCAGTTTCACTAATCAAAGAACCTAAAGCCACAATCATTTTTATCAAGAGTATTGGAATCTAAGAGAAACAGAGATACTAACCCAGGGAGAATGGCAGGAAGGCCTCACGCCTCACAAAGTTACCATTGCTGTCCAGAAACCTCTGTGGTGAGAAAGCACCTGGATCGCTCCAGTACTTCTCGTCAAAGTGCACTGAATAAAGGTTTGTGATCACCATGGTGCCTTTGGGAATTGTGTACCCGTTGACTTTTGCATCCTGGGAGACGGCACGGAAAATACCAAGGGGGACAATGTTGCAGAAGCGAAGGATCTCGTGCAGAACAGCCTCCACATAGGGCATCTTCTGTTTGTCCTCCCAAGTGGGTGCCCTCTCATTGGCCAGCACGCTGTCGATCTCCCTGTGCACCCTCTCTTTGAAGAGAAAAACAGATGGCATCAGGCATTTATTCATGCGGAACATTACACAAGCATTACATTTAGAGGAGCCGATAGACAGATGTCCATCAACTCTCTCTCTGGGTCAAATGTTTTCATATTGGGATGTGGCTTCTAGTATAACTGACCTTGTATGTTGGGGTAGAGAGCCATGTACAGCATGGCCCAGCGCAGGGTATTTGTCGTGGTCTCTGTGCCAGCAATAATGAGCTCACCCACTGAATAGATGAGGTTCTCATAGGAAAAAGAGGAGTCAGGTTCTCCTGTGCTCCGCTCCAACTCATCCAAATAGGCATCAACATAGTGGCGAGGTACATGTGGCACCCTGCCCTGTGAAAACCGCTTTATAACCTGCAGCAAGAAGTCGTACACCTCAGCAGCATTGCGGAACAGCTTCTGGTGTTTCCCAAAGGGCAAATACTCAATCCAAGGGAAGGCGTTGTAGAGGAGTGCCCAGCCGCTCACTGCTAGCTCCACGTTCTCACTAAATAGCTCGATCATGTGCTGGAAGTTGCGGTCATCGTAAGTGAAACGCTGACCGAAAATGATCAGGTTGGTGATGTTGGACACGGCGTTGGTTACCAGGTGTTTGGGGTTAAAGGGTTTCCCCTTGTGTTCGTCAATGGCATCGACAAAGAACATGCACTCCTCTGAGATCTTCCTCTCAAACTCTTTCTGGCCGCTGCCGAAGTAACGGAAAGAGTTGCAAGCCAGTTTACGGTGTTCAATCCAGGCTTTGCCATATTTACAATTGAGAAGCCCTTTGGAAGGTGGAGAAAGACGTAAAGCAGATGAGCTTATATCGTGGCAACTGCAATGATTCAGATACTGTTGCATGAGAAATAGTATGCATTGCAATCTTATGACATCTTACCACCCATTTTGGTCATTTTTATGAATAAAGGCAGCGATGGACGATCAGCAAACACCTCGCTTTGATTGTAGAGGCATTCCCTGACACAGTCATATCCAGTTAATACCACCGTCAGGATGCCTCCCAGGTCCAGACTGAAAATCTGAAAGGTACACATTGCGACATGAGCACTGTCCTTTTGTTATTTGCAGACAGTTCTATGCAAATGAATGCCTCGGGTCAAGGTATGTGAGATTAATACCACAATTGTAGCCATGATGCAACATTTTGCTTGTGTCCGCTCTTTGTCAATAGTGTCCAAACTGAGTTTTCATGAGCCAGTTAAACTTCCCTGCTCAGGACAGTGAGTGAATGAGACAGACTGACCCATATTTAAGGTTATCTCTCCATTTACAAGATATCCAGCTCTGCACTTAAATTATGTCTAACTTTAAAAAGCACAACTTGCCACCAAAAGAAACTCTGTGTGCTTTTCGGGAGTCCCTGATTTTGTCGGTTATTCTCCTCCAAATGCTGCAGAAACAACGTTAGAGCGAGTCTCTTTTGTTCGCAATGCGTGCGTGCGTGCGTGTGTGTGTGCGTGTGTGCATGCATGTGTGTGTCATGCAAGTCTGATCATCTGGCATGAGGTCATGCACTGCAAAGTTTGCAGAGTTTAAAATGCACTGCAGTCATAAAAACGAGTCCGAATCGTTACCTGTCCATGAACTTCGCTCTGCTTCTTGAGGAAGACGTGCGGCTCGGTGGCCAAAGATATAATGTTTCCTATCACAGGGATGGTAGATGGACCAGGAGGAAAGCCCGGTGGTCTTCTCTGCTTGACGAGCTGGCGAACCAGCAGAAAAGCGAGGAGGGCGACAGCCAAACAGCCCACACCGAGAAGAGCCTGTCCGCAGGACACCGGCACCAGAGATTGCGATTGAATTGAAACCATCTTTCTCAAAACAATCTCTCTTCCACCTCTAGACTACCTCTGCCGACTTTGGCTTCTCCTCAGAAGAACTGAAGCGCATATGTATCATCTTGCACACTGTCTATCCCCCGCCTCTAAAGCAAAGATTGGCCAGCAAAGTCCGTGTCAACTATTGGTGAACTTTGTTCTGCACTTGATCAATAAGCCGGATCATTTTGGTGGCTATAGGTTGGGTTTTTGGGCAGCTTTGAATGAACATACAGAAGGGGGACGCGCACCATAAAATGCACTTGGTCACACTGCACTTAATGCATATGAAAGTTGTAAAACGTTGGCTCAAGACGAGCGTCTTGATGCTTAAATAACACGTGCACGAGCAGTAGACAGACTGACATCAAACATGTAAGTAGGCTCACATTAAATATAACATATTAACCTATAGTAGGGGAGAGTGGGCTGGGTAAAACCGGTGGGCACAGAGCCAGCCATTGTTTCAAGGAAAACACAGACAAAAATGCAGACACATTTTAGAGGCAGCTCCCAGTAGGGTGGTGCTGCTTCCTAGGTCATAAAAAGGATTAAGATCAACAGTAGCAGAACAGTTTCAAACTCAAATAGAAAAGAAAACTATGCTAAAGAACTCCAGTGTGATGTTTGACTGGCTAAGCAAAGGGAAAATCACTCGGATGCAATGAAATATTTAAAGATGATGCTTAGTCAAAATACATGTAAAAAGTATCATAAACTTGCCACAGATCTTATTTTCTGTGCGGGGCTAACTTCTGGAGTCGGCTTACAAAATACAATATTTTATTGAATGAATTTTCTCACTAGATTTAGTTGTTTGTATTGGAAAGAGTTTGCAACACTAGGCTGGATTTTTCAGTTGGATAATTTACCAACATTACCAACCCTTGCTTTTATGTTCAGTATGCTGTATAGACCATGTTAAAGTTTGAGGTAGACGTGTATTTCTGGGAAGTGGAGTTAGACATTATATCAATGGCTAAATTAGCTTTGTTTGTTTATTGTTTGTTTATTTATTTATTTATTTATTGTTCAGGGACAATGCACACCAATCGACAGTTGAACTGTAAGTGAGCCAGAGTTAGCCAGAGAGGCTAATTTACATCTGCTGTCCCCGGCCAGGTGTTTCAAGGCAGCCTAAAATAACAAAATCTCAAATGGAAACGGAATTAAAATTCATAGACAAACGGACAGCAACGTATAGACAAAACCAATACAAAAGAAAAGTGTACGACATAAAAGCAGAGCAGACATAACAGACTGCAGCATGCGTCAGGCAGAACAAACCCACCTACAGTACAAGCATGTATACAGTATAACACTGAAGCACATAACATGCACATCAAAAAATGGAAAATAGCAACACTGAACAAGAGAAATGCACATATAGGCGAAACAAGCAGGCAGGACAGAAAGCACATCAATGCTTGCACACCTGATTGGCAACAAGCCAGGTTATGCTTGCATGTTTTGTACGTGTTTTGTGTGCGTATGTGTGTTCCACGAGTGTGCTGCCTTCACAGAGAATGTAGATTTGCTAAACGAGCTTGACCTATGTGGAATGACACAATCACCTCTTGAAGCAGATCTAGTGAGTCTGCTGCTTAGAGTGCTTTGTTTAATAAAATCACTAAGCGGAGGTGGGGCCATACCATGTACAATTTTAAAAACCAGACACACATCAATGAATTTAATGATGTTCTCCCAACTCAGGATATGGTGTTTGGTGAGAATATTGCAGTGATGATGACTTTTGTTTTTTTTAATCAAGTGTTTTTAGAGCTTGTTTATGGAGAATATGAATAGATTTTAATGTTGTGCTGCTGGCTTGTGCCCAGCTGGTTAAGCAGTAGGTCAGATGGGGGATAATCATTGCATTAAAATACAATTTTGCAGCCCGCATGGTTAGACAGTGTCTTATGTATTTAAAATTCATGAGATTACATTTTACGACCTTTGTCACATGTTTTACTGTTTTTTAAAAGAGAGATTAGAATCAATAAAAAATCCTAAATATTTAATATCTAACACTACCTGGCTCTAACATCTGGCTCCAGTGGCACTTTGCAAGCCCTCTTTGTGAAGAACATACAAACAGTCTTTTTAACATTCAGGTGAAGGCAGGAATCTGCAAGCCATTTAGTTACATTTGTCATTGTGGACGTGAGTTTAAGTGCAGCTTGTTCTTTGTTCTTTGCGTGCACATAAATCACATAAATCTTAATTCAGACCACAAATAAGTTATAAATGAAAAAGAAAAAGAAAAAGAAACTTGGTAATGGCTTCTTGGGTGGTCGGTGGGACAGCTAATTAACTTACTTACAAGCTATTATGACTACTGAACCCGCCTATTCATCTTAAATGTTTAATATTAACAAACTCACATTCAGTAAGTTTCAAATAATATTTTCCTTCCCTCAAATGTAATTAATTTGTGTTGACTGCTCCATCTGTGTGTAGTGGTCAAAGTAACTATTGCTTAAGGTGAGCTTTTTAGAAAAAACAAATCAAATTTTCAGAGCTAAAGATCAACCAACTGAACAAACAAACCCAAGCGAAAACATTTAATAGATTATTTTTGTGATTCTAAATCCATTGCTTTAACAATATAGTGGAACAGTATTTATTCTTCAGTACACACACATGTGAGGAGGAGATATTGACATCTTTCTCAACACAGAAGCAGGAAAAAGTAAGACACAATACCGCCACAATAATACAACTTCAAAGTGTTTCTTTCTGCATGATTGTCACTGTATTGAATTAATTTATGTTTTGGTATGTTCATCTAGTTTATTTTCTTGTTTAAACATTCTATTACAGTTGCAACTCTTTATATGAATGGGTCTGTTGCCTATCCTGCCCAGTTTAGTTCATATGAACAATTTGTCAAAAGTGTGATGTCAATTATTGCGTGTGCAAGCGTTCATGCATCAAAGCGCTGGTTTGCATATTTTTAAAAGCATTTCAATGCCTCAGTGTTTTTACAACTTTAATAGTGGGTTTGATGAACTACACTGCAGGGGTCTTCAACGTTTTTCAGGCCAAGGACCCCTAAACTGATCGAGAGATGGAGCAGAGACCCCCGACAATATTTATTGTATAAAATTGTGTTTTATATTAAACTGGGCCTAGTGCCATGTATAAACATACCTCTTCATTGTGCATTCAATACTAAGCTATTCAAATAATGCACAGGTTCATATATTCATGTTTTTATTTTAAACATGTGCAAGGTACAGTGAGTAGGGAGGCCGTACTACTGCCATTCATAAACATACCTTGTCAGCTGATACCAATGCCTATATCAACATTGTCTGTCAATTGCATGATAATCATGCACACAAGCTATTCAAACTGATGTTTTCATTTTAAACATAAATGTGGAATCGAAAATGAGTGATGGCCTATTAGTGGCACTGCCATGCATAAACATACCTGTTATCTTGCATACAATACTGAACTATTAAAATAATGGACAGATTCATGTTTGGAATCTTTTTTTTTTTAAATTGTCTAATCAACCAAAAATTTCGCGGACCCCCTGCAGTACCTCCGCGGACCCCCTAGGGGTCGCGGACCCCCTGTTGAGGACCTCTGAACTACAGTGTTAGTGTGTGTTTTACACTGTGCTGCCCCCCAATTTCTATTATTTCTTGACACTAGTTCCAACTCCTTATATGAATGGGCCTTTGAATAATGCAGCTTCCATTCATACAAGCAAACTTTTTAACAAAATGTGGAAACTGAGTGAAACACATTTTTTTTATTGTCACTGAATCACACATCAACCACAATAATACAAAATGTACTCAGAACTGTTTCTTTAGACGGAAATCTTCTAAAGTGATGCTTCAAATGAAATAAGAAACCCTCTTTTGTTTGCCAAAATGGAATTCATCGAGGTAAATGAAGAGCGAGCACGTTTTTGGTGTTACCCTGTTTTGTTTTTTTTATGAATAAACTTTGCCCCAGTAAGCTGATCCAGTTTCCTTGACTCAAACAGGTTGAAGGTTCATGCACTACTGATAGAGGTTGAAGGTTAAAGCAGGCACCACATTCCAAACGTGCATTCGTTGTGTGTTCGATTTTTCAAACCTGTTGGCTAAAAGCTGCAGGACTGTGCGTGGATGTTCTAAAAACAGGTAACACTTTTTAATACATACATAAAACTGTAGGACAGTGTATTCACTATACATTTATTTATTAATTCACTTATTGTTTTGCCTACAGCTTTTTGCTATATGGTCTGTAGTTGAGAACGGATAGAGCTTGTAAGGGTTAACCCAAGAAACTATCATCTCATTAATGGGGTTTTAAACTATAGACAGTTAGCACTTTAGTAGAACCATGCTCTCCATGCTGCTGTGTGATCAGTTAAACTTGACCTGACATGAAGTTGTTTACCCAGCCGTTCCTTCCTGCTGAGGCAGCTGGTAAGCTTTTTTCTTAGACGGCCTCTCTATAGACCTCTCCCAATCATTCATATTTGTTAGGGCTACCTAATGAGGACATTCTTGCAAATTACTTCTTTGCTTCCTGCCAGCTCCAGAGACTCAAAAGCTATTCTGGAAGCGTTAAACACATCTGTCAAATTTAATCAAATAAACATGTTCTCACTGTTGCATTATCTTGTTAGCGGTTGAATTAATCAAAACACCAGCGACACAACGAATGTCCAGGTGGTTAACATTGAGCATATTTTGGCATGGAAAGAATTATGGAAAAGAAATATGGAAAGACATATTTGACATAATCACGACCGCTTCTTCTTGGAAATGTCAAGAATATACAGGTGTAATATGAAGACATAAATATTATCAGGTCATGTCAGGTGTGGCATTTCATTTTTACTTCTTGACCCCAAACATGTTATCTAATCTGGAAAAATAAAAAATAAATAATTTAAAATAACCCTGATGATGTCACCCCCCCTCTCTACATATTGTCATAATAACCCTATCCTGGGATAATTGTATTCATTTCCTGATCAATATATGGGATTTAATGCATTTACTGTATGTGTGGTGGAACAGCATCAGTTGCTATACATTATAAGGCCATTTGAAGATGCTCTTCCTGTTTAGCTAAACTGTAGGGCATTGTGTGGCATGTTCGTTTGGGTGGGTCCCTACTGTGGTTCTACAGTAAATTATTTACTGTCCGGATGACTGGAATTATCAAGTGCATGGGGAAAAATCGAATTACCGACCTTCCCTGGTAATACTAATGCTGTCCAGAACCTCTTTTTTTCCCTAGAACATAATGAAAGTGGCAGGAAGATCAAGAGGTTTTGTAATCCCTTTGCAACTACCGGCCAGGTGTTTAAATATTATGCTAGGTTTGGTGAGCTTTCTAATGGAGAGCAGCAGGTGTAAGTCCCTTTGCTAATGGATACTTCATCTCATGTTTGTAATTCCATGAGCAAGGAATGAGGGTGATTTTATGTTCTTTGTGAAGGTGCAGAGACTGATCTGTAAACTGTTTTCAGGCACTTCACTTCCATTAAAGGTTTTCACACAGTTGCTGTTTGTTCTCATCATTGGCCTGTGTTCACAATTTCACTGGATTGTTTCAAGCCAAAGATAATTTTCCACAACAGGGACAATAAAGTTTTTCATCAACTTACTAATAGTTAATTTTCTGCTTCCTCCATTCTGACAGTTCCAGTGTAGGTCCAGAGGTCATCCAGCCAACAGTTTATTTTCACACTCACAACACTTAAAAGCTTGCTACTTTAGGACTGAACCAAAAAACTCATCCCCAAAGTGGTGTCCAACTGTTTGTGTCTATGAACCACTGTCTATTTGTGTCTATCAGGTCCTGATATCAAGAAAAACATTCTCACTTACAACCTGGCAATTGATTTCACCTTAAAAGCCGACAGTAGTGCAAATGGAGTCACATTGACATTCCCTGCCATTTTTAATGGATCTGTTATGCTTAGGTGAGTTGAGTGGTCATGCTAAGGTATTCCTGCAGATCAGGTACCATAGTGATATTTGTGTGAAGCTGTCTCTGCCTGGTCAGACTGCTCCCTTCCCAAAACAGTTGTAGACTCTTTTCTAGTTTCACAAAAAAATAAAATTCTCTGAGTTTCTCTTCCTCTCTTATTGAGGATCTGTCTACATTCTTGGACACGGAGCAATTTTTTTAATTTCTCGCTGACCGTATAATGTCAAGACTTATTCAATGTTCAGCTTGCCTTCCAACATTCAACACTAGCCTGGAGGCTTAGAAGGGCGAAAATTCAGAGGACTGATGTACACTTCACCTCACAATGATCCATATGCTCAAATTTCCACAATCCTCATGTACCAACTTAAATATTTAATATACAGTATATAGCCTAACTGTGGTATCATTCCAGCTGATTATCTACTCTTGCTGCCTGTTCGAAAAATGCAAGATGTTGATATGAGTGAGCTTTAAAGGGAACTTCTCTTTGAGACTTTTTATTCCCAGCCAAGAACAGTGGTGCTTCTCTCTGGGAGAAGACACGTTCACACACGGACACAGCTGAGACTGATGAGCACTGCACTGAGCATAACACTGCCCTCTCTGTCATGAATGCTCTCCTGTGTTGCAATTAGTTGTTCAGGCCAATTCGTGCCAAACTTTAGGGATTGTGAACAGTGTGAGATAATTGCATTCTTGACAATAGACTTTTCCCCTTGGAATGTAATTTCTCTGCCTCAACTCGTGTCACTGATCAGAGCAGGCCGTGGTGAACCAAGGCCTGGGAGCACCTCGAGTACAAAACAATGTGGAGAGTATTTACTTTTACACAGACTCGTGTAAGGCGGCTCTTGGCATGGAGGAAGAGATCCTTCTTGTCGGAGTTTGAGAGATGGTTAGCGTGATTTTTAACTTGTGTATTTATAATCATTTTGGTGAATTTTCAAACAGTGAGATTGTTTGAGCACTCATGATTTTCTATCTTCACATATCTGCTGTACTGGGTTGTACTGGGTTTCTCCAAAGTCTTAAGTCCTCCATGAGCAGTTTCTGACATATGGAGCTGTTGGAGACTAATTTAGGGCTTCTGGTATAGAGCCTGCAGGTCTGCTCAGTAGTACTAAAAGGCTCATCCACACTAATGAGTGACGCAAAAACTAACTGGGAGGCAGGGTGCTTTATGATACATCATCCAATATTGTTACACAAGGGGAATTACAAGATGGCCAGAGACCAACAGCACAGTAATTAGCTCGGAGAAACCGGATGGACACTACTGTATTCTGTGGGAAGATTTAGTGTATCATGGACACTATTCCCATTCAAGAAAGGCATTATTTTATCCTATTGTATATAAAATATGAAAATGCACAGGATCAAAACAGTCAGAAAAAGTCAGGAATATAATTTGATGCAGAGGCATGGGAAGTTAAAATCTACTTCAGAAATTGACACCAAGGTTAACTGATGTCTAGATCTAATAACACGTTGGATACAAATTACTCTGGTATTTACAGACACACTTCTAAATTGTTCAGCAGTGTCAAATGGGGCAATATTATATTGAAGCATTCAAATTGCAAATTGTTTGGCTGTTAGATGGCATACTGATGAACATTTGAGCCATGCGCTTGACCTTTGACCCTGTTCCTCTTGCCAATTTCAAAATGCAACTTGAGTGAATGACTGCAACAAAGGTCACACATTTTTTTTTTTTAGTTTAAGACATTGCTATCTGGTAATATGTAATGAAACATGAATCAACTGTGGACATTCACTGTCTTCGTAAATGTGCTGAATCTTGTCCCCACTGTATGTGAGTAGGTACTGCACACCTTTGGATCTCGTGCCTCTTATTAGCCCTAACCTTGTTCATCTTAACCACTTACAGATGAAATGGCCCAACATTAAAAATCACATTGAATCACATATTTCAATAACGGAGGCACTGCTGATTTATGTTTAAATTCTCTGACCATTTTAATTAAAACTAACTATGACAGTGAGGTTTTGTTTTCTCATTGAAATACGTGGCAGTTTTTTGTGAATTAAACACACTGATGACCATTTATTGACGCCATTTACGTACAAGCTCTTTTACTGGCCTGCTGTAAGTGACGTAGTACTTCTGATTGGCTCGCAGTTTGAGCTAAACCATTTGACTGGCCAATAGACTATGACCACTTAATAAAGACACCCATGGGGGACATATATAAAACCCTGCACTGTAAAGAGTGCTCAGCAGATTCACAAGTGAGACTATCATTTCATTTCTTAATTACTAGAAGATTTATTATCTCACGGTGAGTATTGATAAAAGACTGTTTTTTTAGTTGATTGTTCAAATTATGCTGTCACTGTTAAAGAGTTAGACAAATAGCAGAATATGTGTTTTTTGGAGAAGGTGAGGACTTAGTAGACTGGATAGCCACCTGTACTGGTGGATACTGGGTGCTAACAGTGGGGAGATGCAGCTTTGCTGGTTTGATGACGTTATACTATCTATGATAGGCTGCAGCTAATTCTGCTAATGGACAGAGCTGCTGTTATAGTTGCTGGCAAAGCTTCCAGTGGCAGTATATCACCAATAACTATTCCATCAGCCTCCGCAAGTTCAGCGGCTCTAACAGTGAGGGTGTGTAAGAGAGAGAGAGAGAGAGAGAGAGAGAGAGAGAAGATTCATAGCAGTGAGTGCATGCACTAGATGAGTAAGTCTGCACTAATAAGAAATCATGTTTACTTGAATCAAATGTTGTGGACATTTTAAAAACTTTTCCTTGCAACAATTTTGATTCCCTTGTTTGTATTCTATGTGTTTTTCACAGGGAATCATGACAATGCTGAAACTCTGGAATCTCCTTCTTGCCTATGCGCTGATCAGTTGTCAGATATACGTCTCACAGGCAGCTCCATCCAGGTGAGAGTTATGGTTTTTATTCCATAAAGAATAAAGTATATGAACCTTGTAAAAAACATTGTGATTATTTGAATTATGTTAATTTTTTGAATGTGTTCAAAACTATTTCTGCAGAACAGTTTTCCTTGTTTACCATAACTAACCAAATATGTTTGATTTTTTTATTTATAAACTTAATTTCCTCAAATTCCCAAAGATCAGTTTGCAAGCTTATAGATGTAAAAAAGCTACTATGTTCATGTTAGCTTTTGAAATGAGTGAAACCAATGTTGCAGAACCGGAGAGATTACTTAATCAAATGTTTATTTTCAGATCTAGTAAGGAGTCGATGTCAGATGGAGTCACACTATCGAATGATGATGCCCAAAGGTTACTCAGAGCTATCAAGGAGTTCATGCAGATCACTTCAGATGAGCAAGACCACCAAACAGCTGATGGAAACAGGTATGGCTTTTATTATTTTTAGGTATTATCGTATTATAGTTAACCCTGATTATAATACAGTTTAATAAAGGCTGTGGTATCTATCTATCTATCTATCTATCTATCTATCTATCTATCTATCTATCTATCTATCTATCTATCTATCCATCCATCCATCCATCTATTTATTTATCATAGCAACATATAACACACTTTTGTTTATAAGCCCAACAGCTCCAGCTTTGGTCTTTATTGTTTTTTATCAAGGTATATAGTGAAATTCATGTAAAACTACTCTTTGTCATAATCCCTTAATGCATGGACTGCAGTAAGTAATGCATCCATCCATCTATTCAGAATAATAGTAAATGATGTGCCTGAAAGAAAGTGTCCTTGTCATAAAACTGAAGAGAGCATGATGTCAAAGAACAGGCGAGAACCTGCATGATAGATATCCTAGAAACATCCTGAACATGCATAGCATGACAACTCAACTACGAGATATCTTCATATGCCTGTTAAATCTGTTAGCATGCATTTCAAATATTAATTTAACGCATGACGTTTTAGAACATCATGCATGTAACTATTCATATTTATGTGCATGCCACAGTTACTGTAAGCCTGTTTCTGCACGTTTGCTTGTGTTCCTAACAGCTTGGATAGACCCATTTCTAAGCGCTGCACCGGCTTAAGCACTTGTGTGCTGGGCAAACTCTCCCAGGATATTCACAAACTCCAAACCTATCCCCGCACCGACGTAGGAGCGGAGACGCCTGGCAAGAAGCGAAGTCTCTCTGAGCAATATGAAAACTACGGCAACTCATACAATTAAAACTCTTGTTTCCAGCCCACTCTATTCTTCTGTCTGTCTGAGTTAACGTTTGCTCGTTCATCCAGCTCTGTTTCCATTCACAAGACTGCTGATGCATGTGGATCCTATTTGTCTGACTAACTTCATAGAAACAGCCTTGCTTTCATTTTCCACTGGCAGGCATTAGATTTCGACAGAGACTTGAAAGCTCCAAAAATGGTGTTACTAAGGTAGTTCTGTACAATACAATAAAATATAGAAACATCTAAAAACCTTTCTAATTATTTTTCTCTTCATAGTAACCTGGTTCCCCTTTAATAAATTCATCTTTTACATGGAAGTTGTTCTTAATTCATTCGAGATTGAAAACATAGGTTGTACATTACTCATTGAATAAAACAGGAAAGGAGAAAAGGGTAAGCATGACTATAACGCACACACAATTATTGGAATAATTTCCTGTTTTTGTATTTCCATTGTGTTTAATTTGTTGTTGATGCTAAATAATACTGTTAAACGTGTGTCTATCAGATGTCTGAGTATCTTACTGTGTTCACTATCTTTTCCATTCTTGCAAGTAATGCAACAGCACAGAAGCGGGGATGCAACACTGCCACCTGTGTAACCCACCGCTTGGCTGACTTCCTGAGTCGGTCAGGAGGACTGGGACACAGCAACTTTGTTCCCACCAACGTGGGTGCCCAGGCGTTTGGCAGACGGAAGCGGCACGGCCCTGTGTGAGCACAAGAGCAGATACATGGTATGTTAGCACTCATTGAAGCATAATAGTGTAGATAAAGTACAAGAGAGCGAGTTCAACAAAATCATTCAACTTTACAGATTTGTGTAAGCTCTACCATTATGTATATTACAATTGGAATTGTGAAATTCCTATAATGGGTACCTACATTTGAAATTTCCTGAAATTAGATATAACAATCAATTATGCAAATTTTGTTGGTAAGTATGGACGTCCACAAGTTACTCTTAATGGTCATTTATGTGCCACACGCTGACCAAACCTGATTTGCATACAGCAAAAAAAAAAAGATTGACTCTACTGTCCTCTGTGGCCAAAAATGTATTTTACAACGAAGGAACTTTGATACCTGTGTCTCTTACTTTCTGTCGATCTCGACTGTCAATCTATGAAATAAAGCTTTTCTTTCTAGAAGTTGAACTTTTTTCTATCCTGTCTTTGGCTCTTTAGGAACGACTGCCTCCTTTGAGTGACAAAACTGCATCATCGTCTACCTGCAAACACTTGGATGAACATATATAGTTGCCCGTTTTTTAACAAATATGGACTGATCTGACTTGTTTTCGGAAAGTTGTCAGTGTTAATTCTTTGTCTGTGCTTAAAAACAGAGAAATAACTAGTGTCATCGTCATCAAGGAAAAAAAATGAACTAAACTTAAAGATTTTTCTTCCTTTGCTTAGAGGGATGACAATGTGTTTGTCTCTGTCTTTGCTTGTATTCTATTATTCTGACCTGTATCAGCATAACAGTGAGGTGAAGTGGAAGTCTGATACTGAATGTCTGCACTACCAACAAAACCCTCAACAACTATGGCTGTCTTGTGCCTTGATGTAACACTTCACTAGATTTCATTATAGTGCACAATGCGAGGGTGAAAAATGTACTCATGGTTCTAAATATTGTAATAATCGTGAATTGAAAGCCGGAATAAATTGTATTTTAGCTACATTAGGCTTTCATATCTGACTGTGTTTTTGTTTTATTGGGTGATATAAGCTGTAAACCATACTTGGCTTACCAGCAGCACTATCTATTCATTTCAAAAAGGATCATATAATGTGTTATGAGAAGCAAGGGCATCAAATCATACAGTTTATGATATTCACTTATCATACACCAAGAGAGATGACATGGCAAAATCTCTAATGGTTGACACATTTATATCGTCTCACTGTAAGTATATCCCACCCTACCTATGTGCACACATTTTGTGCTGTAGCTGTTAAATGCCAATATAATAATTTATAATATATGTAGTTACCTATTTAGCTTAGAATATGGACAAACTACCCGTGGGATGCATAACGTCTTATTTACAGTATATTACGTCTATTAAAAGCCTGATGTAAATGAGCCAACAGGAGACTTAGTTAACATCTATTTCAACATGGCACTCCTATAAGGTTGTGGGATTCACAATGGACAGAGGAAAAGACATAAAGATGAAAATCAATGCAGAACCAGAGATATCATCTATTTCATTCCATGCATTCTTCTTCCTTATGAAAACCTGCTGTCTACATCACCCATAATGCAACTCGACATTCAACAGTAGAGATTCGAAAGTGTTACACCAAGATCAAATAAGATAATCCTTTATTAGTCCCACAGCGGCGAAAGTAGTAACTTCTAACCCCTGCAAGGGGCCTTATACATTTTTCATTAGGCCTATGCACCTGTATAACCAGGTGTGTGTGTGCGTGTGTGTGTGTGTGTGTGTACTCCCCTTTAACAGTTACCTGGGCTGGGAGGGGGCGTCACCAATTAACGAGAACCAAGCCCTGTCCTCACGCGGGCAGTCTGTGGCGAAGAAAACAATTAGCAATACAGTGGTTTAGTTTAAAAGTTTTTTTCTATATATAAATATATAGTAGAGATCGGTTAATAATGAACCTTTAAAGCGACATCGTGCAGCATACAATAACAACAAGGCTACCAAGAAGGTGCATGACCAATGACTGCAAGTTATACAGTGAACGGCAAGTGACCAGTGCTCAATAATTCACCTGACACGATGAAGACTGTGTATGTGTGTTTGGCATTTGTAACATCTTGTCGTTATTCATCAACGTTGGTAGATCAACATGATGGTTTTAATTTTTGAGCTCATGAGGAGTTTCATCGGCTCACCTTGTTCGCTCCGGGCCTCCCAGACTGTGAAAGCTGGTCTTATTCTCTGCTGTCCACACTGCATCTTTTCCTTTCTGCTCTTCTAATGGTTTCACAGCACATAACGTTACGCACCTCACGCATGCAGATCTACGTTGTCACTGCTGAGGGTTTCCTTACAAAGTTGTTAAGTTTAGTTCAAGTTAATTATTTTGGATACGTAAAAATGTTGTCACATTCCCTGAGACAGTTTGTGACAGTGAGTGACTGATGGGGTAGTATTAGGTTTTTAATTTTTAGATGTTTAATCCATGCATTCATCAACCATTTTGTCACTCCTTGAGTCTCTTTGTAAATGTTGGTTTACAACAGCCACTTATAAAACCTTTGCAAGGATGGGCTGGTGTGTGACGTACACTGCAAGCCACTGTAACGTTTGTTTCCAATGTCTGACAGACTGTTAGATGTTAGCTCAATGTTCTGAAAGATAATATCAGCTTACTCTGTCACAGCTGTTACTGAAATGCATTTATTTTGCGAAACCAGGAAAACGTCCTTTGCTTGTTCAGCATATGAATAGTTGGTCCCTATGTAACGACTTTGAATCAGTTTCTGGCCATCTTCTAAGTGTATATTCAGCGGCCAACGAAATACACAGAGTTTTGCTCCCTCTTCCTCCTCTTTTGCAAATGTTGTGTTATAGCAACAGTTACCCTGACATTTTCCTGCAGAGCTAATCCTCAAGAACGATTTGTTACAGGCTTAACAGCCCCCTTGAGTGCTATTTCTCTGGAGTTCCTGTGTAACAGACCCAGAGCTTCACGGCTGCTCGTCTTCCCTAATTGACATGCTTGTTCTACAAGTTGTTTGACCCCTCCATTCTACTGTCTCTTTAGGGAGAAACTGCTTTTTTTAAATTGGGAATATCCACACCAAGGGATTATTATAATACAACACAGATGCACGGTGTTGTGTATATTGCAGCAATGTACAATGTGGGAATTAGTCTCTGTTTAAAACACCTCACACCTTGATAAAAGTGTGACTTGTTATGAATGGTGTAGAGAAGTCATGTAAACTCAATAGTATCAAAGCTAGTTTAATGTGTACAGTCGACCAACGTAGGATTTTTCACCACAAGGTTGAAAGTTTGGCCACTTTCACTCACACATTTGTGTACATTTTTTGAAGTTTGGACAGTATGTTTACTGCTGTGTTTTTATAATGCAGGGATCTCGATCTCTGGTAGCTGTTTCACAGAATGTCCTGTGTGTCTACTGGACATATGATGGCACAGAGTATTTATTAACAGCAACACAGATGTGATTGCCTGAAACTCGGCACAGCTAGTATCATCCAACTACTGACCTGTGTCAAGCCTGACACACATTTCAGTGTTGTTTCACTGGTAGATTCTGATCAATGGCATCGATAGGTAGTTTGGATGTTTTCTACCATATTCGCAGCCTTTCTTTTTGTTTGACTTTTCGATTTTTTGAAGTAAACACTTTATGTAGGCTTTTAGCACTGATTGTTTGTCCACTTGTCCGCCACGTACTATACTAAATATGTTTGAAGTTTAACAAAGAAATAGACTTAATTATCAACTAAATATGTTTGAAGTTAAACATAAAAACAGACTTAATAATTGTAAACTACAGAAGCAAAACAAAATCACATACTTGTGCGTAATTGATTGCCAGTGCTTGATAGAAAGTAAATGCTCTAAGCTTTCCTTATTCTAAACTTTCTTTTTATATATGCAGCCCTAAAGAAGCTGTGAATTTTGTAAAACAAACATGATATTGTCCGTGGTGGTTGAAACATGTACAAGGGTGTGTTTAAAATTTGCAATTCTCTCCCCTGAGTGTTGACAGATGACGCACATCAGAGTTGATTAGACAGATGAGAGTGGGTCACTCTTGGATGTGAGTAGCCATGTGCAAACAGAGCTAATGAAGGAGATGAGGGCTGGTGGTAGAGATAGTTCAGAGCCCCGGAGGAGCTGTTCGAGATGCCAGATCTCTTGAGTGTCTGGGGGACGAGCATCTGTCACTTTCCCCTCATCACCATCTGGATGACAAACTGAGTCAGTTAGAGCGCTTATAGCTTACTTTTCTTATTTAGCTGCAGCAACACAGATGTTTTGTGCATGCAGACTGGTTGTCTGGGACAAAACTTTTCTATACATATTGATACTTTTAGCTTCCATCACAGGGGAGAAAATGCAACACTTTAATATAGTAAATATAATAATGTACTTCTTGTCCCATTTGGAAAAACATGGATGTAGATGTGCAGCAGAAAGTGAATGCTGAGTGAAAGTGCCAGCAGACAATTTATGTCTGCTTCTGGTCACACCTGGTCATTGGAATCACATTTCGAACCACCTTCAAGAATCAAATGTAGTTTGAAATAAATCACATTTCATGTGTTTTTTTTTGCTGTCCAGACTTTCCAAAAATCAATCTGGTTACAATTTGGATGTGCCAAAAATAACAGATTTGAGCCGGAAGTCTGAACAAGACTTAAGAGTCTTGCTCAAGGGCACCTCAGTGGTGGATATAAGGAAGTGAAACGCTATGCTCATTCACTTTCTTCACTCCGATTCACCCAGGGATTGTGGTTTCATCACAAGCCCTCTTGCTTTTAGCCTTTTAGCCCCCAAACCTAATTAGGCTATTACTACTTTCAATCACAACCCAATTGAAAGGGTTACACTTAGCCATTAAAGGTCTCCATGTAGTCTCTTCTCATGTGTTATCTTTTCAGTATTTATGACCGAATTGAAGTGAATTTTAAACCCCCGGGAAATGTATGGCAGAATACATATCAGTTCTGAAATAAGGTGCAAATGCATGAAAACCTACTATCTGCATCTCTTTGGGCTGCAGTGCCACCATGCGGCTGAACAGGCGATAGCATGCAAAGATGTGCCGTGCTGCATGTACAGTACATGAGGACTTCTTAGTGGTCAAAGAACGAATGACGCGTGGTTATAAGCTTGACTTGAAAAGTGAAACACAAAATGAAATAGAGGGAAGGTTGAGCTGCCAGCACAGGGTACGTTATTAATAGACTCCAATGCTTGGGCTCAGAGGCAGATTTATTGTAAAACAATTTCTCAAAAACACAAATGCTTTGACTCAGCAGTTTCATACAGAATAACCCAATCAAGGTATTTAGTGTTCTGACCTGTGTTCAAAATATGTGATTGGGAGTGTTGATAAACAATAACATTTTAAGTTGACAGGATCTTCTCAAAATACATTTACTTTCTCACTTTGCATCAGGTGTGTGTGTCTGTACTTGTCTGCACTAACTGATTTTAACTTGCTGCAAGTTAGAACTTCATACAGAAGGCTTTCTAAAGCCTGTTGTCATTTTTAGTACATGATGTATTGGTAAGTCGGAAGGAAAATGTTTATACCAATTTGATTTCAACTTTGTTCTCCTAGCCTTTTTGTTGTGGCCCACTAGTTCATACATCCATGCAGTACATCAGTGACATGTTGTGCTAAATTAAAGCATTCATTCTGTAACCGAGGCTCTGTATGTGGTCTCGACATTTTCCAAACACACATACAATTACGTAATCCCAAAAACACATTCTGCCGGCTTGAGGGGCCTTTTCAATAATACAGCGCTTTCATATTATATTCATAATACACCACGTTCACTGCAACCAAGTCTGATGGGTTAAATTTAATGTAATTTCAGGGCCTCATTTGGCTTCCTACATGTCAGGAGTAATGGAACTTTTGTATTTGATCTACAGCCCCTTTATTTGGATTT